AGAGGAGACTTGCAAGCTGAATGCTAATGAGGTGGAGAAAGCAAAAAGGGGCAGGTGTGCACTGAGTGGTCAGGTGCCAGAGGAAAGAGAGAAAGAAAGAGAGGAACGCCCCGGCCAGTTTGGCTCAGCGGTTGAGAGTCGGCCTGTGGACCAGAGAGTGCCGGGTTCAGTTTCCGCTAGGGGCACATACAAAAAAAAGAAAGAGAGGAACTAAAATTAGGGAAGTCAGTGTGTCTGGGCCATTGGGTTCAAGTAGTGCATCGTGGGAGAGGTCACCAGGGATCTGCTGTGCCAGGCAGGACACCTCAGGGCAATGGGGTGTGCCCCTATGGGGGATGTGAGAGGGAGGGAGGGCAGTAGAAGCTGTGAGTTTTAGAGAGATCCTTTTAGTGGTGTGGAGAAGGGATTGAATGGGGTGCCTAGAGGCAGGGTCCCTCAGGGGAAACTGGGCAGGCGGTAGGCACGTAGGAGGAACTGGGGCAAGGCCACAGGTCCTGGAGACAAGGGAAGTTGCATCTGAGGCAGGGCAGCTGTTCACACAGAGATGCTCTGTTCTCTGATCCCACTGAAGCTTTGGGGCTCATGAATTTTTCAGCAAAACAGGACTTGAGTTTCAGATTCCAGGGCATGTGGCCCAGGCTTTTGGGTTCCATTTACTGCCTGAAAACATCTCAGGGGAAGGGCCCTTGCTGAGGTTCAGTGCTGTCTGGGCTGGGTAAGGGACTGGCAGCTCCGGAAATCCCCCTTGACCACCAGGGGGCTGGTACGATTGTGGAGGACACCCCTACCCTATTTGAGACTGAGGCAGCATAAACCTGTGGGGTTTTCAGGACTAGAATTTCAGCCCTGCCACTGCTGGCAGGTGACTTGTTGTACAAGTCACTCACTCTCTGAGTTTCAGTGTTCTTATCTGTCAAATGGAAATAATAGGCTTCCCTAATTCAAAGCATTGTTTCATGGAGGATTCCTGCAGAGGAGACAGTAAGGGCACCACCTGGGTATAGTGAGCACGATATAGGCATAAACTGTTAGTAATAGTAATATTTGTATCCCACAATGCAGCAGAGCAGTTGGGTAAAGGCTGGGACCTGGCTTGCTAAGACTCAGATTCAAATTCTGACTCAATTGCCTCCAGGCTGTGTGGCCTTGGACCAGTGGCTTCACCTCTCTACCTCTGCTTCTTCCAATGTAAGAACACAAGAAGGCCTTCCCTAAGGTCCTGAATTCTCAGGAAAATCGTATTTGGCAAGACCAGAGTCAAACACAGCAAAAATAACAATTTAAAAAAATTTTTTTTCGCCCTGGCTGGTTTGGCTCAGTGGTTAGAGCTTTGGCCTGCGGACCAGAGAGTCCCAGGTTTGGTTCCCACTAAGGGCACGTACCTCAGTTGCAGTTTGTCCTTGGCCCCGGTTGGGATCCTGTGGGTGGCAACCACTAGATGTGTCTCTCTTACGTCGATGTTTCTCTCTCTCTCTTCCCACCTCTCTCCCTCCCGCTCTATCTGAAGATAAATGCAAAAATGTCCTCGGGTAAGGATAAAAAAAAAAAAAATTTCTTTATTGATTTTAGAGAGAGAGAGAGAGAGAAAGGGAGAGGTAGAAAGAGATAGAAACATCGATGAGAGAGAACATAGATTGGCCGCCTTCTGCATGTCCCCCACTGGAGATTTGGCCCACAACTTGGGCATGTGCCCTGACCGGGAATTGAACCGGTGACCTCCTGGTGCATAGATCGACACTCAACTACTGAGCCACACCGGCCAGACTTGTCTTTTTTTTTTTTTTTTTTAAGGATTGTTATTTTTTTTGCCTAGCTGGTGTAGCTCAGTGGTTGAGCATCGACCCATGCGCCAAGAGGTCGCCGGTTCAATTCCCGGTCAGGGTACATGCCCAGGTTGTGGGCCCAATCCCCAGTGGGGGGCATGCAGGAGGCGGCCAATCGATGTTCTCTCTCACTGATGTTCCTATCACTTTCTCCCTCTCACTTTCTCTCTCTCTAAAATCAATGAAAGAAAAAAAATGTTAAAAAAAAAAAGACATGAAGAAGTGTTGGAAGATAAATGCCCAACAAATGTGCCCTAACTGCTGTCATGGTTGTGTTACTGGTGATGTTAGATGCCAGTAAAGAGGAGTGGGCGGTTCTAATAGCTTCTTCCCCTTCTCTTCCCTCCCTCAATTCCCCTACAGGGACACCCACTCCAGCCCAAGGGGCTGATAAAGGTCTGGGGCTGGGTTTGGGGAATGACAGATGAGGCCTGAGAGAGCTGAATGTCCCCCCTGGAGGTCTTCAGGACCCTCTCTCTCTGTGTGGAGCAGGTTCAATCCCAGCCAGGCTGAGATTGAATTTCCGTTTCCTTCCCTCCTCTCCCAAACTTCCCTGCTGCCCAGATCATACACAGTCATGAGGTGGAACCCTGGTCCACAGTAGCTGGGGCAAGGCACATGAGTGCTGTGCCAGGCATGAGTTATGCACAGAAATTCGGCAAGCGCAGACTTTGGAAGCAGCACCACAGCCGTTGCACCCATTTAACAGAAGGGGAGACTGAAGCACAGAGGTGCAATCACTAATCTAAAGTCCCACCGCCAACAGTGCATTCAGGATTCAAACCCAGCTCCTATGCTCTTAACTGCCATGCAATAAATAATAATAAGGCACAATTCTCTCTTGAATTGGCCCATATCCACTTGGATGCCGACTTTTTCTTTCACAGTTGCACCATGCCTTGGCCTCTTTCTTTTTCTGTACTTAAATAAAACTTGCTTTATTCTAAAATAATGATAATGATAATAATAACAGATAATAATATTATTAAGCATTGACTACAGCCAGGCACCATCCTAAGTACTGTATTATGTGTAAGAACTCATGCAATCTGACTATAACTTAACTAGGAAAGTGCAGTTAATAATTACATGAATATGCAGTAAAATGTCATGAATGTGCAAACGTAAATTCAGGGAGGGGAGGCCAAGTATCCAAGTCCACCCAGCTGGCTGGTTTCAAACCCAGGATTTGAGTCCAAGCAGTGGTCTCCAGAGCCCATGTACTCAACAGGCACATTTAAACAACAATGAAAATAATTCTAGTACCAGCTTTGGACCAGGCTTTGCACTGGTATTCTTTTTTTTTTTTTTTTAATATGTTTTTATTGATTTTTTTAGAGAGAGAGAGAAAGGGTGAAAGACATAGAAACATCGATGTGAGAGAGAAACATATGCCTTCTGCATACCCCCTATTGGATTGAGCCCACAACCAGCAACCTAGGCATGTGCCCTGACTAGAAATCAAACCGGGACCTCTCAGTCCATGAGACAACACTCACTCCACTGAGTCACACCGGCCAGGAAAGCACTGGTACTCTTTCTCTTGGGTTGTCCCCATTCATTAGGTTGCAGTGGAAAATTTTCAAATGTCAGCTTCTTCTCTGATCTCCCTGCACAGAGCCCCCAATTATTTCCCAATATAGACCTCAAACCCCTGCTGTCACTTCAGTTGACTTCATAACTCCCATCCTTTCCAGAGATCATCTTTTTTGTTTGTTTTAATGTTTTTTCTTCATTGATTTTTAGAAAGAAAAGAAGGGAAAGGAAGAGAGAGATAGAAATATCAATGAAAGAGAACACCAATTGGCTGACTCCTGCATGCCCCCAATTGGGGATTGGGCCCACAACCTGGGTATGTGCCCTGACCTGGAATCCAACTGGCAACCTCTTGGTGCATGGGTCTATGCTCAACCACTGAGCCACACCAGCTGGGCTTCTTTTGGGGTTTTTATTGTGTGCCTCTCACCTTCCCTAGAATGAGAGCAGTAGAGTGGCTTTGTCTACATTGCCGTCCATAGCACCACAGAGAGCGCTCAGTACTCAGTCACTGAATGAATCATCAATATGATCATCAACATCACCATAATGACAGCAACTTCCATATGCCCAATTTAGCACACCATAGGTGCTCAATAAATGTTTGTTAAACGAATATTATAATAATTATAGTCATCCCTGGCTGGTTTGGCTCAGTGGTTAAAGCATCGGCCTGCGGACCAGAGTCTTGGGTTCGGTTCCCGCTAGGGCACGTACCAAAAAAAAATATATATATATATATAGTCATAATAATAACCATTTATCTCTCTTTTCTTTATTTTGGCAATCCTTACCCAAGGATATTTTTCCCCCATTGATTTTTAGAGAGAGTGGAAAGGAGAAAGGGGAAGGAGAGAGAGAGAGAAACATCAATGTGAGAGAGACACATCAGTTGGTTGCTTCCCACATGACCCTGACCAGGCCAGGGACGGAAGCTGCAACCCAGGTATGTAGTCTTGACCAGGAATTGAGCCCTCAACTTTTGCTCTAAGGGCCACTGTTCTAACTGCTGAGCCAAACTGACCAGGGCCTATTTATCTCTTAAACATTCTATCACCATCTTAATGTCACATAGTAGGAGCTTATAAATATGTTTGGTATATGTGCTGCTGAAGCGAGCACTTCTTATAAATATTTTTTGAACGAATAAAAGTAATGTTAGGAGTAATAATAAAAGCAGCCACACTTGCCCTACTCAGAGTGCAACCCACAGTTCCTGTCACTGAGTGAAAGAATTTACTAGTGAGTAAATATTTGAGTGAAAGAATAATTTATAAATATTTATGAATTAATAATTAATAAATAGGTATTGTATAAACAAGGGAAATAATTAATGATTTGGATAAATATTACTGAGCACCCAGTGTTGGGCACTGGAGACACAAACATGAACAGGACAAAGTTCCTGCCCTACTAGGGATGACATCCATGTAGAAGAGACAGAATAGATAGATGGATGGATGGATGGATGGATGGATGGATGGATGGATGGATGGATGGATGGACGGACGAACGGTTCGTCTGGGGTCTCCGCCCATCAGCCCTCCGGAGTGTGGTGGGAAAGTGAGGCGGGGTAGCTGTCGGTCCAAAGTCTTGCCCCTTCCACTCCCCGCAGAGTCTTCTCACCCGCTCTCGCCTCCGCTCACCTGGCGGCCTCCCCTTTAAGACGCGCTCACCTGGGCGCTCACCTGCGCGGGTGCTTCCGCAGGAAGAAGGAAGCGGCGCCACCGTCGTCTCTAGCCTTCGCTCCCGGCCTCACGGGTCCGCGGGCCGCCACCATGTCTGCCTCGGCTGTCTTCATCCTCGACGTCAAGGGCAAGGTGAGGCTGGGCGTGGGGGTAGGGGACGGACAGGTGAAGTTGCGCTCCCCTAGACGAAGGGACAGACCCTCTTTGCAGGCAGGGAAGCCCCAGATATCCCTGAGGGCGTGGGAACACCCCCTCCCCCAATCCCGGGGAGTCCGGAGTCCAATCCCACCTCCACTGTTTACTAGTCGCGTGCTTGGGACAAGGGGCTTCACCTTTCTGAGCCTTCCTCCCACTATCCTTAAAAATGGGAATAACAGCCCCGCCGCTGTGGCTCAGTAGATTGAGCGTAGTCCCATGGACTGAGAGAGGTCCTGGTTCTATTCTGGGTCAGGGCACACGCCCTGATTCAGGGCTCAATTCCTAGTAGGGGGCGTGCAAGAGGAGGCTGATGAATGTTTCTCTCATGGATGTTTCTGTCTCTCTCCCTCTAAAAATATCAATAGCCCTGGCCGGTTTGACTCAGAGGTTGGACCATCGGCCTGCGGACCAGAGAGTCTCGAGTTCGGGTTCCCGCTAGGGGCACGTACCAAAAAAAAAAAAAGTCTAAAAATATCAATAAAAATATATTTTTAAAAACTGAGAGTAACAGATGTCCCCACCCCATAATAATGAATACAATCCAAAGCCAGTGCTAAACCACTAGCTCAGTAGCCCTGCTGCAAGCATTAGGTTGTCGATCACTTGAAATTGTTATTTCTATTGTCATCCTCATACACAATATTAATATTTGGGGAAGACAGCAGGGGCGGGGACCCTAATTCCCCTTTGGGGCTGCTTTGTCCCTTTCTGGAGTCCCCTCTCATTCATCTTGTCATTCAATAGCAATAATAAGAGAGATGGGGGAAATAATATTTCTGATAATAATAATAGTGAGAGCTAAGGTGTCTGAGGACCTGCTGTGTGCCCTTCCAGTTCTACACACTGGACTAAACAACTTTGCCAAGTAGATACTATTATTATTGACTGCTTACTACCTACCAGGCAGAGATATGTGAGCTAAAAAAGATATATGAGCATAATCTTTTTACTTTTCTTTCTTTCTTTTTGGCATGATCTTTCTTTTTTTTCCTTTCTTCCTTCTACAATCTTTATTTTATCTTTCTTTTGTAGTCTATCCTTCCTTCCATCCTTCCTCTTACCTTTCGTCATCCCTACCTTGCTGATTTAGTGCATATGAAGCCCTGGGCAAGAGGAAGACTTCTGGAACCAGGGCACTTGGTCCATTTCTCAATTTCCCACTTATTATGAACATGGTCCCTACCTCACAGATTGTGGTGAAAACAATCAGCAAGCAGACATTCAGGTTTTTTTTTTTTTTTTTTTTTTTTTTAATCCTCACCTGAGGACATTTTTCTATTTTTCGTTTAGATAGAGTGGGAGGGAGAGAGAGGAAGAGAGAAACATCGACGTGAAAGTGACACATCGAGTGGTTGCCACCCGCATGACCCAATCAGGGCCGGGGACAAACCAACCGAGGTACGTGCCCTTAGCAGGAACCAAACCCAGGTCTCTCTGGACCACAGGCCAATGCTCTAACCTCTGAGCCAAACCAGCCAGGGCAGTCTTTTTTTTTTTTTTAATTTTGAGACCATGTTTATTAAAGCTGGGGACAATGAAACAAGGAAGGGCTTAGGATAGAAGAAGCAACAGGAGAGAGCTTAGGTGGGGATGCTTTGACTTTCTAGAAATGTTATAGGAAAGAAATGAGCCAAGGCAGGCTGGTTTGGTTCACTGACAAATCAGAGAAAAGGGGGCCTTGAAGACAGGTTCAGGGAGTTAGCCAGGGATGTGCTGCAGCTTCCCATTGCTCCCCTGGTTTCAGGTCTTATGTGAACCCTTAGAGTTTAGGAGATACACATTTGAAAGGGAAGAAAGGTGTGGGCGTGCTCCTGGGAGGGAGAGCACCAAACATTCAGTCTTTAGTAGAACATGGCCTGGACCTTAGTGAAGGGTCTAGACATGTTAGCTTTTATTATCATGTACTCATTTCACAGAGAAGGAAACTGAGATGCAGAGAAACAGAGCCTTGCTCAGGCCCCTGGGCCAGGAAGTAGGGTCAGAACCAGGCACTCTGATGCTCCTGGATGGAGGAGGGTCTCTGGATCCCAGTGGTGACTGGGCATTCTCTACCCACCTTTAGCCCCTGATCAGTCGCAATTACAAGGGAGATGTGGCCATGAGCGAGATAGAGCACTTTATGCCTCTGCTCATGCAGCGGGAGGAAGAGGGCGCTCTGGCCCCACTATTGAGCCACGGCCGGGTCCACTTCCTGTGGATCAAACACAGCAACCTCTACTGTATCCAGCCACAGGTGGGATCCCTGGGGGACTGGGGTGGTGGCAGCTCAGGCCCAGAGAGGGTGGGCTGAGGATAGGAGTTGAACAGCACATCAGTGGGGGGTTGAGCAGGGGGGTGGGGGTTGGCAGAGGTGGGGGCAGTGGTGGGGAACAGGGTGGGGGTTCAGGGTCTGTGCTCCATTTGAGTCTTTCCAAAATGGCACCTTTTCCTTAACCTTGCTGCCCACAGTGGTGGCCACCACGCTGAAGAACGCCAACGCCTCACTCGTGTACTCCTTCCTCTACAAGACAGTGGAGGTAGGTCCTGACCTCCCATTGGCCAGCTGTCTAGCCCACCTCTTTTAGGGTTCATCTTTCCTAAGACATCTGCCTGACCTCCGTGGCAGTGCCCCCATCAAAGCCCCATCACTTTGTGTTCTCACTGGTGGCTTTGGGATCATCTCTCCCTATAGGGCAGGGACCAAGGGGGTCTCCAAGACAGTGTAACTACTCATATCTGAGCCAGAGTGAACTGGTTTCCAATCTCAGCTTTTCCTGCTTCCTGTCTAACTCTAAGTTAGTCAGTTTTCTCTGTGCCTCTAAACTGGGAGTTACAATAAGTCCTATCTTAGGATTGTTATACAAGTTAATAAAATCATATCATAATTTATTGAGCTCTTACTATATGCCATTCTCTCTCTTTTTTTTTATCCTCACCCAAGGCCATTTTTTGTTCAGATAGAGTGGGAGGGAGAGAGAGGAATAGAGAGAGAGAGAGAAACATTGACGTGAAAGGAACACATCTAGTGGCTGCCTCCCCCAGGACCAACCAGGGCCAGGGACAAATTGTAACCATGGTACGCGCCTTTAGCAGGAACCGAACCTGGGGTTCTCTGGACCGCAGGCCGACGCTCTAACTGCTGAGCCAAACTGGCCAGGGCCTACATGCCATTCTCAATGACTGAGAAAGTTCTCAGTCAGTACTTTTCAACGAACAGGAAATATTCATGATTTGTCTCCTCTGCCAGATAAAGAGAAGACACAACTGTGCATTAGACAGGTCCCTGTCCTGAGGAGTTAAAGGACATAAAGGAGATTAAACAAAAGGAGATTAAATCAGTGATTGGGATGGTAGTCACACCACAGCATGATACTCATGGAGGAGAGTGGCCTCATTGTGGAGGTAACATCTGAACTGAAGTCTGAATGACAAGAGCCCTCTGTGAGACAAGCTGAAGGAAGAGTGTTCCAGGCAGAGGAGATAGCATATGCAAAGGTCCTAGGGTAGGAACAGAAAGACCAGTAAGGTTGGAGCTGAATGAGGAGTGGAGGGTGGTTCAAATGTTAATGACTTGCCCTGGCCGGTTTGGCTCAGCGGTTAGAGCGTCGGCCTGCGGTCCTGAGAGACCGGGTTTGGTTCCCGCTAAGGGCGCGTACCTCGGTTGCAGTTTGTCCCCGGCCCTGGTGGGTTGTGTGGGTGGCGGCCGTTTCTCTCTCTCTCTCTGTTCCTCTCTCTCCCTCCCACTCTACCTGGAAAAAAAAAAAAAGGGAAAATGTCCTCGGGTGAGGATTAAAAAAAAAAAAATTTTTTTAATGACTAACAGGTTCTCTTCTGTGGTTATGCCTACTAATTCCCAGGGGTTCTTAACTCAGGGTCCCCAAACTTCCAGGGCCTCTGACTAGAATCCAGAAAGTCCATGATCTTAGTCATATTTCTGTATAGCAGGTTTCCTTTGTCATTCTGTGCATTTTATTTTGTGCATTTGCAAACCTTATTCTGAGGTGGATCCATGAACATCATCAAATATTCAGGGATTCATGATCTACAAAAAACAAACAAACAAACAAAAAATGGTTCTAATTCTTCCTGGACCTCTCCACCTCTGAGCTCCTACTTTCCTTGTGTTTTCCACCCAACATGTTGGATTATATTGATTCTGCTACCAGTCCATTTCCCCGACTAGACTCTTCCCCGAGGGCAGGGGCCTTGTGGGTTTTATTCACCATTAATATCCTGGCACTGGTATAAAATAGGCACTCAAGCCCGGCTGATGTGGCTCAGTGGTTGAGCGTCGACCCAGGCACCAAGAGGTTACTGGTTCGATTACTGGTCAGGGCATGTGCCCAGGTTGTGGGCCAAGTACCCAGTGGGGGGCATGCAGGAGGCGGCCAATCGATGTTCTCTCTCATCAATGTTTCTCTCTCTCTCTCTAAAATCAATAAAGAAAAAATAAATAAAATAAATAAAAATAGCCCTGGTCAGTTTGGCTCAGTAGTTAGAGTGTAGGCCCACAGATCAGAGAGTCCCGGGTTCGGTTCCCTCTAAGGGCGTGTACTTCTGTTGCAGTTTGTCCTGGCCCTGGTTGGGGTTATGTGGGTGGCAATCAGTTGATGTGTCTCTCTCACATGGATGTTTCTCTCTCTCTATTCGAAGATAAATGCAAAACTGCCCTCAGGTGAGGACCAAAAAAAATGAAAAATAAAAATAAAATAGGCACTCAATAATTGCTTGTTGGATGGATGGTTGGATCAGTGGGGACTGAGCCTATGGCTACACCAGCTACACCTCTGTGGGTGTCTGTTTCCCACACTCCCAGGTATTCTCCGAATACTTCAAGGAACTGGAAGAGGAGAGCATCAGGGACAACTTTGTCATTGTCTATGAGCTGCTGGATGAGCTCATGGATTTCGGCTTCCCCCAGACCACTGACAGCAAGATTTTGCAGGAGTAAGTGGGCCATGGGAACAGTCATAGGCAGGTCACAGTGGAAGGAAGTTGAGGAGGGCCAGGGAAGTGTCCTTGGGTCCACCTGTTCATGCTCCCTGCCATCCTGCCAGGTACATCACACAGCAGGGCAACAAGCTGGAGACAGGCAAGTCACGAGTGCCACCCACTGTTACCAATGCTGTGTCCTGGCGCTCCGAGGGCATCAAGTACAAAAAGAATGAGGTCTTCATCGACGTCATAGAGTCTGTCAACCTGCTGGTAAGCCTCCACACCTCCACCTCTCCCCTACCATTGTCTGGGGACAGGAGAGGGGCCATCTGCTTGCTGACCCTCCATGCCCATGTGTGCATCCTCAGGTCAATGCCAACGGCAGCGTCCTGCTGAGTGAGATCGTGGGCACCATCAAGCTCAAGGTGTTTCTGTCGGGAATGCCAGAGCTGCGGCTTGGCCTCAACGACCGCGTGCTCTTTGAGCTCACTGGCCGTAGGTGTCTGGGGGGTGGGGGGTGGGAGGTGGGAGGTGGGGTTGGTGGAGGTGATGGAGACCCTTTCGCATCTGGGACTCCAGAGAATTGCAATCAGTTCTGAAGTAAGCACTCGTGTCCCCTCTGCTGGTCATGGTCAACACTACAGCCGCTAGTTCTTTGAGCAAATGCTTCTTTATTAAGTGCCAGGTTCAAGGACAGGGCAGTGAAGAAAAAGACAAATCCTGGCCCTCCCAGAGCTGACATTCTAGACTATCCCAGGAGACAGAATAGCATTGTACTTAAAAAACTTGACAGTGAGAATCAGATTCCATGGGTTCAGATCCTAGCTCTGCCCCTGGCCAGCTGGATGACTGGGCAAGTTACTCATCTACTCTGAGCCTCAGTTTCCTCATATGTAAAATAGGGTGATGATAGAAGTGGATGATTAAGGTAAGGGTAGGGACTCTGCCCAAGCCCCCAGGGTCATCCTTCATGCTTGGCTCTGAGTTTCAGGGAACAAGAACAAGTCTGTGGAACTGGAAGATGTGAAATTTCACCAGTGTGTGAGACTCTCCCGTTTTGACAATGACCGCACCATTTCCTTTATCCCACCGGATGGTGACTTCGAGCTCATGTCCTACCGCCTCAGCACCCAGGTGAGGCAGTCAAGCCCCATGGCAGGAGAGGAGAGTTGGCCCCACAGCCTCACAGAACTCCTCCTTCCTCTGTCTGCAGGTCAAGCCACTGATCTGGATTGAATCTGTCATTGAGAAGTTCTCCCACAGCCGTGTAGAGATCATGGTCAAGGTGGGTTGGAGGAACAGTTACTTACAGTGCTTGATCTGCGCCTCCCACCCCCTCACCAATCTAACTTCATTTCCCACCTCCCTCCTGGCTCATTTCCGTCCAGCTACACTGGGCCCCTGGCTGGTTCCCAGACATGCCAGGCATGGGTCCCCCCACCCCTGCAAGGCCTTCGCACTGGCTGTTCCCTTTTTCTGTATCACTTTGCCCCCACTCACCCAGGTATATGATGCATGACTTCTTTTTTCATCTCCTTAATCTCTTAACTGTCACCTCCTCAAAGAGGCCTTCCCTGGTTTACCTGTTGAGAATTATACCCACCCCCAACAATTCCCACCTCCCTTCTTTGCTCTATTTTTTCTCCTATTACTTATCACCATCTATGACCTGCTTTACTTATATATTTATATGATTTAAAGAATAATTAACTACCCAGCTTATTCAAATATACTTGACCAGAGCCTCTGAATCCCCACATGTCCCTCCCCCAATTCCTGCTCTCCCTTTGCCCAGAGGTAATCACAATCTTGAATTTTATGTAAATGATTTATTTGCTTTTCTTTATAATTTTGCAACCCACATGTATAACCACAAGTATTTCATTCTAGCAGTTTCTAACCCTCATATCAGTGAACTCAAGCTGTATAATTTTGTGTATAACTTACTTTGTTCATGTAATGTTAATTTTAAGATAAATTCTGGGTGTCATAGCTTAGTGCATTTATTTCTATAGCTGAAGAATATTCCACCATGGGAATCTATATCTCTTCATTCTCTCACATGGGTTGTTTTCAGTTCTTGGCTATTCCAGTTCCCATGGCCATAAACAGCTCTGTGCATGTGTCCCGGTGCCACAGGCAGGAACTTCTCCAGAGGTTGTAGTATATCCTTCTTTTACAGATGGGGAAACTAAGGTCCAGGGGATTAAGATGTCACTTATCTAGGAAGGGGGCTCCCCCATGATGAACTTGGGTCCTTCTGACCCAGGAGTCAGTGTTCTTAGATTTGACTTTGTTCCCTGGTATTGGGGTCTTAGGGGAGCTGGGTCATACAGCAGATGATCACCAGGTTGAGTCTTGATGCTCCTCAATGTTCCCATCTCTGCAGGCAGGAAAGGGAAAGAGGCTATTAAAGCTGGTGCCTTCCAGAAAAAAATGCCGCCCCCCACCGTTTACCTCCAGGTCCAGTGCCCCAGATCCCACCTCTCAAACATACCTCCCCAAATGAATAAATAATAGCAGTAATCATAATGCTAGCAACCACACATGGAACACTTAGAATCCTTGTGTTAAAGCTTGTCCTGGCCCTGGCTGGTTTGGCTCAGCAGTTAGAGCATCAGCCCATGGACTGAAGGGTCACAGGTTTGATTCCTGGTCAAGGGCCTAGGTTGCAGGTTTGATCTCTGGCCCCCTTGGGGTTGTGCGGGAGGCAGCCGATCAATGTCTCTCTCACATTGATGTTTCTCTCTCTCTCTTCCTCCTTCCCTTACACTCTATCTAAAAATCAATGGAAGACTATCCTCGGATGAGGATTAACAACAACAACAACAAAAAGCTTGTCCTCTGTCACACAACTTTAGCTGTAAATATAGTGTTGTAACTTCTTCTTTTATCTATAAGGAGGGCATGTAATAGTTGAGGACACAGATTCAGTTTGAATTTCTACTGTGCCAGTTTGTGACTTGGGCAAAGTGCTCTTTCTCTCTGTGCCTTAGTCTCCTGGAAAATAACCTTAGGAATGGATCCTACTTTAGAGAATAAGTGAGAGGATTAAGTGCTTGGCACAGGGCCTGGTACATGGCAGGGGCTCAGTAAATGCCACCTATCAAATGAAAATCTCTCTGTGATGGGCTCAGGGGAGTCATTTGGACCATGCAAAAGTGTATTCCATTTTCCAAATGGAAGGCACCATGGGTAGGGCCTCTGGAGCCTCTCATGGGTGTGGACCCTGGCTCTGCCGCTTGTTGGCTGTGTGTCTCCAGGTAAATGCTTTAACTTCTCTGTATCTCTGTTTTCCTCATCTATAAATTGGGCAGAACAATGGTCCCCACTTCAGGGTTATAGAGGCTGTCAATGAGGGGGCATATGGAGAGTTTGGTGAATAGTTGCAGAATCCACGAGCAAATTCTTCCTGCTGCACTCTCTCTCCCCCACAACAGGCCAAGGGACAGTTTAAGAAGCAGTCAGTGGCCAACGGTGTGGAGATATCTGTGCCGGTACCTAGTGATGCTGACTCCCCACGCTTCAAGACTAGCGTGGGCAGTGCCAAGTACGTGCCCGAGAAGAACATCGTGATTTGGAGTATTAAGTCTTTCCCGGTGAGCACTGGAGAAGGGTGGGGATCTTCAGGGACCCACTCTAACTGCTTGAGGGCCAGGTGGAGAACCAATCAGAGATCCACATCTGCCCACAGATGGTTGTCACTGGGGAGGTAATAAAGCTGGACATCAGGCCAGCATGATGGTTAAGCTTCTCCCCCATGTCTGGAGGAAACCAACCTCTGGTTCAGATTCCCACCCCACTGTTGCCTCTCTGAGCTGGATGGGCTTGGGAAGCCCTCTTCCCCTCATGGAGCCTCAGTTTGCCCATCTGAAATAGGCAGGATTATGTTACCCACATCCTTGGGCCCAATGGGGATTTGGTCTGTCCCTAGAATCTGGAGGGTTTTTCAGAGCCTGAAAAATAGGAGATGGTCATTAAAAGCTCCCAACCCACCCTCCCACCAGTCTATGTAGTCAGAAGCTTCAGCTGTGAGTCTTGGTCAGGGCCCTTTCTTGTCTGTGAAATGGGCCAAGAGCTGAGACTGCTCCAGGGGCTGTTGTGAGGATGGTCTGTTTTGTTTAGGGGCCCCTCAGTGTGTCTGATGCCTCCATGTGCCTTTAGGGGGGCAAGGAGTACCTGATGCGTGCCCACTTTGGCCTCCCCAGTGTGGAGAAGGAGGAGGAGGAAGGCCGGCCCCCCATTGGTGTCAAGTTTGAGATCCCCTATTTTACCGTCTCTGGGATTCAGGTGAGGGAAATGGACAGGGTGGTTCTTCTCTTTGACCTCAGTAAGTTTCCCTGTCTCCCATCTCTTGTCTCAGGTCACCTCTGTTTTCTTGCTTGGGTCACCTCTCCTCTGTAGTAAACCTTGTCTTTTCTCCAGAACAAGGTTGCCTCTTCTGCCTCCAACCTGGGTTTCCTCTTCTCTTCCTCTCACTTTGCTCTGTGCCACCTTATTCTCCACCAGCTTGTAACTTCCATCCCTCTTCCATCCACAAGCTGTTCACCATTCCCTTGGCCTATGGTTCCTCATCCCTCCCAAACTATATTGTGTCTATTTCCTTACACTTTGCCATCTCTTCACTGTGCTGGACCATCTTCCTTTCCCCCACTCCCACTGTCCATGCCATATTGTTGTCCCAAGCTATGTCACATCATTACTCCCAGCCTGTGCCATCTTATTCCCCCAAGTTGTGTCACATATATTCATTCCTCTGGTCCTAGCAAGCCCTTCCTGCCCAACCTGGGCTACCTCCTTTTATTTCCTTCTAGGTCCGATACATGAAGATCATAGAGAAAAGTGGTTACCAGGCCCTGCCCTGGGTCCGCTACATCACCCAGAGTGGTGGTAAGGCAGCCTGGCTCCTGGGATGATGGAGTAAAGGAGATACTGGGGGTGGTCTTGGAGTTTTGATACATTCTCACTCAGGGGGCTCCAAAACTCAACAGGCTTACCCCTTCTTTGTCTCCATGGCACCCTGGGCCTTGGTTTACCCGTCTTTAATATGGGGGCAGTTGCCAGTTCCATCTGCTGCCTGTAAACAGGCTTGTTACTATGGTTACAGTCCTTGTGTTTGACCCATCCTTAGCTTTGTAACTTCCTGGCAGGGTTGATCATGAGCACTGGGGCTGGGGAAGGATTGGGGAGACTGTCCTTTTGTGCCCTTTCTCCAGTTCTGAGATGGTCCCTACTCATTGTTTCCTTGCAGATTATCAACTTCGTACCAGCTAGAAGGAAGATGAGGTAGGGCCTTGAACATGGGCCTCCCTCTCCCTAAGCCCTGACTGCAGACTTTAGAGAGAGGGAAGATGTGAGCAGGCCTCTGTGGGCTTAGCAGTTTCTTGCTTCCTGCTCCCAGCACGTGGCTCCCTTCCTGTCTTGTCCTCAAACTATATAGACTGGAAGGGAAGGGCTCTTGGCCTCCCTCTACATCCCTCTGCCTCCTGGCTCCTCCTCTTCCACTTTCATATGAAGAAAGAGAGGAGGGACTTGAAAGCCCATTCTGGTGTGCCTTCTTGCAGTGACCTGCCTTAGGGGTTGTCCAGGCCCTTCCTCCTTCACAGCTGCTGAGCCCAGAGGCCCCTCTGGTTCACTCCTATGTGTTTTAGGATGACATTAAAAAGATGAATTTAGCCACTGTGTATGTGCTTCTTGGCTGGGGACTGGGAATGCCAAGGACGTCCCTGAATTGCTGAGGAGGGAGTGGGCAACACATATCTATTCCTCAGCTATGGTCACAGCTCATCTGGGCCAGCCCAACTGCCACCAGCTCAGTCCCTGATTGTGGACTTTCCTCGCCCTCCACCGTCAGTTCCCCTTATAGCTGCCAGAGGGCGCTGTTAACGTCTAAGTTAGATCCTGGCTCCTCGGCTCAGAACCTTCCCATACTTCACCTCTTGATCTGCGCTACCCATCACACCACCTACCTGCCCTCACCTCCTCCCCCTCTATACCTCCCTATCCTGGACACACCATGCACGCTTCCTCCTCGGGGTCTTTGCATCTGTAGTGCCCTTGACCTGGCATGCTTTTCCTTAGACATCCACACAGCTCCCAGTACCTTCAGGTCTCAAATCAGAGTCACCAACCCAGGGTGGCCCTCCCTGACCTATTTCAACAGCCTCCTTTTCCCAGTAGACTATTACTTATCCCGTTTTATCCGCTCCTTAGCGTTTACCACTCTGAAAATGTTTATTGTCCTTCTGCCCTAAACTGTAGCTTGCTCTCCAAGTGGGCGCCTAGTACACAGTAGGTGCTCAGTAAATGATTGAAGGACTCCGTAAGAGCCACCTCCCAGGCTCAACCACGTGGCAGTTACAGCATGAACGTTCCTCCTCGTCCTTGCACTTGCTGTGTTTGGGCTGGCTCAATCTGAGCGAGAACGAGATTTCTTCTTCATTTCCCCGTTTTATTTTCTTCACGGTGTTTAACGCTATCTTAAATTATTTAGGTGCTTGAACGTACGATGGTAACGGTTCCTGCACTTGGTAAGGTAAATGAATAAAATTAAACGCTCTGCTTCCAGTAAGGGCGAATAAATGCTTATCGCGTAGCTGAATGGTGGAACTTCAGACTGGGCGGCCCCAGCCCTGCCTCCCTTCCCCCACGGAGGTGCCGAGGTCTGGGAGCAGCCCGCGTTACCTTACCCCTGGACATTTTTCTCCCGGGTCAGTTAAACCGGCCCTCCCTCCCGCCCGCCAGGCACATTTGAAAAACTGAAAACCCCGCCATAACGAGCGGTCCACCGGTCGCCGCGGCTCGGCCAATCAGAAGAGGCACCGCCCACGCCGGAGCGCAAACCTTCCCCGGCAACGCGGAGACATTGGCTGCACTGAGCGTGTGGGCGGGGCGTCGCAGGGTCGGGCACCGGGCGACGCGGCTGGGCTACATTGTAGCGAGTTCATAAAAAAACAAATCCGCCCTATTTGGGGGTGGAACCTAGAGCGCGCTGACTCTGTCCCCTAGCGGACAGCTCGGCGGCCGCGTCGGCGGCATCTGCTCAGAAGAGACTCCGCCCGTAGAGGAGGAGGGAGGGTGAGTTGGGCGGAGACCGGGACCCCTACGGGCCTTCGAGGGTTGGGCCTGGTTCCCAGCCCCTAGCTACCAGCAGACTGACAGAGGGGAGGAGCCGGCCGGGGGTGGGGTGGAGGGTCGCGTCGGAGCCTCGGACTGGCGAGCTGGAACGGGAGCCTTGCGCAGGCTGGGCGCTGTGCGGGAGGGCTGTTCGGGCCAACACCGGTGGTTTCCCCCGCCCTGACCGTGCTGGGGTGGGGCGGGGGGCTTCTCAGGTCGCCAGTGTCGACATGCTGCTGGAGGAGGTCCGTGCCGGCGACCGGCTAAGCGGGGCCGCGGCCCGGGGCGACGTGCAGGAGGTGCGCCGCCTTCTGTACCGCGAGCTGGTGCACCCAGACGCCCTGAACCGCTTCGGCAAGACGGCGCTGCAGGTGAGGCCGGTCTGTCCGGCAGCAAGGCCGGGGCAGGGCGGGGAGAGAACTGGAACCCGGACCCCTCCCCTAAAGTCTCCTGGCCTCGTTGGTGGCCGACTGGGATCCGGTCCTCCATTTCTGGGCTGACGTTGCTCCCTGAGGTCCCCTTTCGTAGGTGGGTGGTGGATGGGGCTAGGATGGGGGAAGGGAAGGCTTTCCATCTCTGGAGGATTCTTTTTTCTTTGAGTGCTGGGGATTCAGTTTCCCCGGGGAGGTTCTTTCTCCATGAGTGAGGGTTCAGCTTCTTTGGATACCGGTTTCATGGAGATGACTCTGGTTTCTTTGGGCTTCTATGGAGAGACCCGATCGCTGGAAGGAGGGATTCAGGTCTCCAGGGCGTTCTTATTGTCTAGGGGGTTCTTTGAGAGGTATCCAGTTTCTTGGAGGGGGGAGGGTGTGATCTCCATTCTTGTTTTTTTGTTTTTCAGATTCCTGGTATACAATGGGGGGTTCCACTGGGGAAACAGTTACAGATTGGGTGGTAGTCCCTATTCCCTGAGAGTCATTTTAGGGGGAAACCCCATTTCTTGAGTTCAGGTGACCGGCAGTATTCCGATTATATGGGAGGAGCTATTCATTGGAGAAGGGGTTTCAGATTCCCTGGGCATCTCCTTCCCTTGAGGGGGTGTCAAGTTCTTTGGGGGTCAGTTCTCATTTTATGAGACCAGAGTCCTGGAAGAAGGTTTATATTTCCTTATTTCCCACATCTGAGGAGGGGTGCTCTGATTCCTTGGGGGAGGGTCTTAGGTTCTTTGAAAGTTTGCATGAGGGTTATTCCTAGGGGGGATTCCTTAGGGAGTGGGTAACTAGTTTCTTGAGGGGGGAGTGGTCCCTAGTCCTAGGAGACCTTGTTCTCTGGGCTCTCAAACAGCTGCCTGGGGGCTTGTGTTCCCTGGGCTTTTTCTATTCTCCAGAGGACTTCTCTGGTGTTCCCTATTTCTGAATGACCCCTCTCTCCAGTGATGTCTTTTCCTGGAAACCCTCCCTTAAGGACCCCCCTGAACTCTGCCCCTGCATAGGTCATGATGTTTGGCAGCCCCACCATCGCCCTGGAGCTCCTGAAGCAAGGTGCCAGTCCCAATGTCCAGGACACCTCTGGCACCACTCCAGCCCATGATGCAGCCCGCACTGGATTTCTCGACACACTGAAGGTTTTGGTAGAGCATGGTGCTGATGTCAACGCGCCTGATAACACGGGGGCGCTCCCCATCCATCTGGCGGTGCGAGAGGGCCACACAGCTGTGGTCAACTTCCTAGCTGCTGAGTCTGATCTCCATCATAGGGATACCAGAGGGCTCACACCCCTGGAGCTGGCGCAGGGGAGAGGGGCTCAGGATCTCATGGACATACTGCAGGGGCACATGGTGGCATCACTGTGACCCGGGACCACCCACTGCAGCCACAGGACCCAGTTGGGTTCTATCTCAGAAGAGGAGGAAAGAAACACTTTCTCTTTTTGCTCCTTCAGCCCACTGCCAAAGGTGGAGGGACATCAGTTTGTGGCTTGTTGGTATTGATTTCTGGGGTGTGTGTGTTTAAGGGGCATTTCTCATTTGTTTTTCCCTTGTGTGTGTTTGGTGAGAAGGGCTCCTGTAGGCAACAGCCACCTAAACGGTTCAGTTTCCTTCATGCCCCAGACTGCTGGGGCTGCTGATGAGTCCCAAGGGCAGAGCGCTTAAAGCCTCAGCCCCAGAGTGAGGTAATCGCTTCCAGGACTCCTGGAACCTGGCGACTTTGGCTGACTGTACCCAGAGAGAGACCTCAAGAGTGCACACTGCTTTTGAACATGGGGGGAGGGGGGGAGTTCCAAATGAATAAAAGGGTAGTATGAGTTTATTCATATTTTGTTGGAAGCTTGTTTTCCAGTCTCTTGTACAGCGTTAAAAAAAAAGATTCTATTTATTAAGCTTTATGAAAAAAAGTTGTGTGGTAATTTAATGTTTTTACCCATTAAATTAATTATTATGCATGATCACAGTGTTGGTGGCTTCTGATTTTTGAGTCTGCGATAGAGTCACGCGTCCAGGGTGTTCTTAGGGGGTCGGGGATCACGGACGCCTTGGGGGAGAGGAGAGAGTGATAATTCCCAGGGCGCCAGGAGTGAGTGAGCTGGGTGGGGCAGCGGTTTGTGCTGTCGGAACGGAAGGGAGACAGGAAACCGCGAGTGGAGAAAGGGCCCCCAGATGTCGGCTGGGTGCGGGTAGTCTCGGGGGTGGGGTGGGCGGTGGCTGCAGCCTTCCCCGCAGAGGCGTGACCGTGGGCGGGCACTGAGGTTACGCGGCGTAAGAGATCCCGGAAAAGCCATAGGCGGGGTTAGTCGCGGCCCTCGAGGCCTCACCTCCTGTAATGTTTGCGTGGGGCGGGGCCGACAGCAGCCTCGCCTCCTGGGGGGGCGGTGCTCATCGTACGCGTGCGCAGTGGGACGCACAGCCGCCATGCCGGAGCCGCGCGGATCGTCTCCCTTGCGGGTGAACGCGGCGTTTGCCGCGCGGTATAGCCGTTACCGGGAACGCGAGGAGCTGCAGAGGCGTGAGTGCGGGGCGCCGGCGCTGCAGGGCCATCAGGAAGTGGTGGTTGATCTGGTAATGATCTGGGGGACTCCCATCTGTGTCCCGCAGTGAAAGATCGTTACCGGGACCAAGACAGCGGAGAGGATTCCAGCTCTGAGTCTGACTCCAGCGACGAGACCGTAGTGAGCTTCCTCACCCCGGCCCCGGACGTGCGGGAGGCATTCAAACCCCTCACCATGTCCTGACCCCACAACCCTCTCGCACCGTACCGGAGCCTCCAACCTCCGCCCCCGATCCCATGAAGAACAGACAGCGCCCTCCCGGTTCCCAGGGGGTGGTCAAATCTCCCCCCATTCCCCTCCACCGCTACAGATCCACCTGCCCATCCAGATGTGTTTGGTGTGACCACTCTGTCCCCGAAGTGGGGCATCTCTGCCACATGGAGCACCCAGCTTCTTCCAACATCAGCTACATCACCTTCCCACCTCACTCTGCATGCAACCCATTCCCTACTGCTGTCCTCCGTGTGCCCTCTCTGCTACCTGCCCCATGTCAATCCCATGTCCCCAGGAAGTACGGTTCCTTTGCCTGATTCTCTCCTGTCTCTGATTCTGTACTTATGTGTGCCCCACCCTC